TATCAGATGTCATGAAAGACAAGTGTAATCAACCCACAAATGTACATGAAGACACACTGTGTGCAGACGTTTTTCTGGGTATTGACCATAATCCTGTAATCAGAGCAGGTGCAACAACTGCCTTTTGAGTTTTGATGTTCTTTGGAGTCCAGAGTCACCCTTGGCAACAGAACAGATACTGCTCACCTCAAGGCCATTGTTTTGGTCCCCACGTCTCCCAGATGAGGGTATAGACCATGCTCAAGGAGTTATACAGAGGCAAAGAGAACTGGACAATAGATCACTGCCTGAGCTAGAGATGGCAGAGAGGCAGGAGAGACACCAACTTACTCCTCACTTATCAGATATTCATGGAGTGGCAGCCCTGAGCCCTTGAGTGCAAAGACAGGGAAGGTTCCAGTTCTCACCTTCACCAAGCTGACCTGCACTGGGGAAGGGCAGGGAAGCACTGTCAGGCTTCCCTGAAGAAAGTAGACATGTGATACAACTAAGCAAGGGCTCCCTCCCATGGAGATTTCTTTCAGCCACTAAGGTCTCCTTAGGCCTATACTGCCTCACTGTGGGTGGGAAAGGGTGTGGCTGGATCCTGTACAGCCTGGGCAGGAGGCTCATACAACCTCCCTACAGGTGAGTTATGCATGTAGTGCTGGAGGAAAGACCAGGCCTCTCACTCTGCTCCTTTCTTCCCTGTACCAGGTCCACCTCTTCTGTGCTTGACTCTGCATTGGAACTCTACTCACATGTGGATCCCCAGGCTGAGCTTCTCCTAGACCAGCTAGAGACTCCTGAACCCCCCAAGGCTGAGACCCTAGGGTAAGTAACCCTGGGATGTGGGATGTGGGCTTGTGGGAGGGGATGGGCCTTGGAACTCAGCAAAGCACACAGATGCTGGGGACCAAGGAGCATGAGACTCTCAGCAGTCAGTGGGGGGATGTAATCTACAACTGTGTTGCTTGGGCTATGTTGGTGCACATGGCTCCCTCTGACAGCCAGTGGGAAGGTTTTGCCCCAAGAAACCCATCGACAGTTGGTCATCTTTTCTCTTCTTGGAACTGTTGAGCCAGTTTCAGGCCATGCAGAACTTGAACCTGCTGACCTTGTGCCAGCTCTACCTGCAGCTCCCTCACAAGCTCTGGCCCCACAGCAAGAGCAGGCACCTGGATTCCCTTGTCCACCAGCTACAGAGCTGGACCTCCTGGTGGCTCCACAGCAGGGCTTTTTTCTTGAACTCTACCTCCTTGCAGCTCTTGACCCAGACCTGCCATTCCCATCTCTTCCAGATTTATTTATCATTCTATTCACTGCTACTCTTATTTCCCAGAGATATGTGTTAGAACAAATATAAATAAAATGTAAGATTTTAGTATGGTTTAAAGTAATCAGTGCATTCTCAATGTTGTGCAAATTTCACCACTGTTCAATTCCAGAATATATTCTTCAAATTTTTTTACCCAAAGATGTTTTCTTTTCTTTCCCCTTCTGCTCTGTCCGAACCCCAACTGATCTTACATCCTCATAATTAATCTATGTTACATTTCCCACAGGAAAGTGCCCCTTACCTCTGTATATCTGCTGTCTTGTCCCACATCAAGTTTTCTTTGGCCAGAGAATGTTGGCAGTGACTTTTTAGGCTTAGAGTTAGGATTACGGTTCAGGTTAGTGTAAGGGTTAAGGTTGGGCTAAGCTCCCAAGTATTACATCATTGCCCATTGCATTGATATAAAGAAAAGAAAATCCAGACAAAGCAGCACCTTGTGCTCACCATGTCTTGGCCCTGAGATGTATGCTCAGTGCAGGCAACTTTGAGAACAGTCACTGGTCGATGGATTGTACCATTATACACAAAGTAGGGCCTAATTTCCATTCTACATATCATATGAGCCATAGACCTATAACCAACATAAACAGTATACACTGTAAACAGGTACTAATAAAGTATACAATGATTTATAAACCAAACACAAAGCAAGAAAATCCACTTCTGACATGTGGGAAAAAAAGAGCAACAGATGAGAAGCCTGACACAGGAAAGATGCACTCTAGCTGGCAAGCAATGGGTGCTTCATGCAGATGCAAACCTGAAGAGCAAAGCATGAGCTTTAAGTCCTTGGTAATGGAGTCTCTGGCACCAATCTTACTATCATAGGAACATGTACTTTTATACTTTGCTCTATGCCCAACCTAACACAGACACATAGAAATCTAGATGTGTGCTGGCTGCCCGAGATCCCCAGAAGCAGTTCATTCTTGGGGAGACAAGTGAACCCACACTGCCAAAAGCTGGTGATGACTGAGTCATGGAACAGAAAGTGAAAACCAAATGCAGACAAATCTGGAGGAGCCCTCAGTGTGGCTCCCAAGCCCTGTCTCTGTAGCTCTGCTCAGACTCCTCATTTCTAGCAAAGCAATCAAAACTGCTGTCTCCTCTCTGGCCTCAGGATACAGGCTCAGAAGTGGGTCTAACAGTGACAGCTGAAAGTGCCCCTTACCTCTGTATATCTGCTGTCTTGGAGGAGAAAGCACCTTATCTTCCTCTACCTTTCTCTCCTGCCTCTCCCACCAAGTTTTGAAGGCTGAGCTAGTGCCAGGCAGTCTGGGTGGAGAAGATTAGCAGAGCCTTCAACATTCTTTTATCAGCATACTTTTTATATATGACATACTTTGTCATACACACACAGCTTGAGAACAGTCACTGGTTGACAGATTGTACCATTATGCACAAGGTAGGGCCTAATTTCCATTCCACCCATCACATGTGCCATGGACCTATCATCAAAATAATCAGTAAACACTGTAAACAGCTATTAATAAAAATATACTAATAAAAATAATTAAGGATCTCATGATGAGTTGTGAGACAGAAAGATTTAGCAAAAAGTGACAGTTACCTGGAAGGAACTTTGCACTGTACACCAAGACCCTAGCATCAATATGGTGGGGAAGGAAATATATGGGATTCTCACCCCACTCTGCAGCCACTCAGACCTCAGCCGGCCCATTGTGCATCTCAAGGATGTTTGCCTCCTCCCACTACACTTGGGTAAAGCCTCCCTGACACCTGGACCTGAACACTAGGTATTTGCCTCTGGAGTCAATGGCAGAAAAGTGAGAACACAGCAGCACCTGGCAACTAGCAGGCAAGACAGAAATGGCAATGGCCATGACCACCTTACCTGAGAGTCAGTCCCTGAGACAGTGGCACGTTATACACATGTAAGCCTTGGGCCATCTCCTGTCTGGGTGCTGTTCACTCCTGAAAGAACCAGAGACATACTAGTAGCAGAGTGATGACACTGCCAGGCCTTATAACACAGTCAGTTGGTCTTGGGAAAGGACAGAGACTCATGGTAACAGTGGGGTGGAATTTGTCCCCAGACACAGTTGGGCTTGGGCACCCTTATTTCCCTCCCTTCCAATGTGTGGTCCAGATCTTTGGTCCCTGCTTCAAAGTCTGGTGCACTAAGCCTTTAGTCCCTGGCCAGATCCAATTCTGCCCACCCCACAGGAGCCATTTCAAAGTTACTGTTTCTACCTCGATTCGGCCAGATAGGAGTATCTGCATTTGTCTCCCCACATATCCAGATACGCATGCATCACATGGTAACCCAATGCTTAGGTCAGCTCCTTAGATGCTCCACAGATAGGGGTTTTCAGACTGACCTTGAGACCTAAATTCTAAGCACCATGTTCTAAGAAGAACTTCTAGATCTGGGAACCAACATTAGGGGCTCATAGTAACCTCAATCCTAGGCCCTGGACCAAGCACAACACAGGATGGATTAAGCTTGCTCTAAGTGATAACCCATCAGCCATACCTGTGGGTACAGGATTCTCTCTGGGACAAAAAGGGATGGAAGGGGCACAGAGCAGCCCCCAGGCCAACCAGGGTTAGCACAAGCCTAGCTGTGTGCTCTTAGGAGAATGATATATAACAGGAGGAGGGATGGATGCCTGAGGAATTAGGGAATAGAAGATGGAAGAGCAGAAAAAGGCCCCAAGTTTCTCAATGATGGACACCTGATTTTGTCAACCACCATACCTTTTGGGTGACAGCAGAGAACAGTGACATCTAGACTTTGGGCAGCTACACATGCAGTGCCTCCTCCTTTGATTCCATTCAAAGTTCCAAGGAAGATTGGAGTGGAAAAGGAGGGTAGAAAAAGTCTGGCAGGGGAACCACAAAAGAATTAGTGTGGAAGGATGTCTTGAGCAGGTGGCAGTGGTATACACTCTGCGTTGCCCCATTTGGCTGCCAGACACAGCCAGTGTCCACTGCCACCCTGACTCAATACCACCAGGCAGGGATCTCCCTAATTCATTCAAGAGGGCCATCCCGATGCCCTGACAGGCACTGAGGTCCACACACAGAGAAGGGCTGCCTACCTCTGTGGGATCCAGCACCTGCTCCTGCCCTTGTTCTGTGCACTTCCTCAGTGTGATCAGCTCCAAGATGGTACAATATGTTGAGAATAGATGGCTTGCAGAGTCCATGGGGAGCCACCTTCAGGAGGGGTTGTGCTAGACATGTGTTGTCACTACCATGCCTTAATGCTGTGCCTGGTTTTAACACACTATAACACATAGAAAAAGTGAGTCCCCACGGGTTCAGGGATCAAGGGAGGCTAAGATATTCTGGTAAGAAGCTCCATTGTGTGAGAGTGGGGCCAACAGACACTATTGTCCTTGGCCTCCAGCCTGGGACTGACTCACCTGAGACCATGCTCCAACCAGTCTGCTGGAGAACTGCATGTCTGCTCTGTGGGGAGCTACGTTCCAGGTCCAGGTCAGAACATTTGAGAACTTTAATGCCTTGTGGGGTACAGAGTAGGTATGGAAGTGGGGCAAATGTCTATCACATAGATCAAGAAATGATCTCCAAGGCACAGGCATGAAACTCGATCTCTTTCTAAAGTTGTACCCCACAGAGATTTGCGCCTCAGGATGTGATGAATGCCTTGGAACAGGGCACAGGGGCTGTTAATCACACACAACTTTAGTATTGTGGGGTATTAAAGTTCCCTGTGTCTGTGGTATGGGATTTTCTCAGAGTTAGGGAGGTGAATGGGTATTTTAGTGGGTAAGATGCCCAGAGAAAATAAACCACCTGAGCCAACATTAGCAATAGCAGTAAGCAAGTGTCTCTCTATATATATATCTCCATCCGTATCAGGGAATGCATTCTTGTGTACTGTTACAAGCTTCAGCATATCCATGGCTGTCTATGATAAGTCATGCTTATAGAATTGTGTTCATGCTGTTCATATGCTAATTAGTTAGGTGAGGTCCATACATGTCCTCAAAGTCTTTGGGGCTGAAGCACTGTGAAGTGGTTTCCCATATTCCACCAATTGAAAGATGAGGGAAAATGTGTTTATTGTAAGTGACCCCTAGGGTGGACTCATGCACACAAAGACCACGACAACAATAAATGTAAAGCATAATACCACTAATCCCACCACAGTGCAGCTTATGGCCATGCAGAGTCAGGTGGATCCCAAGGATTCCCATCACTGCATGAGCAGATCCTGCTGCAAGGCCTGGAGGGTAGAGAATACCAGATTCATTTCTTTTTTAAAAAATTTTTTATTTAAAGAAAATGAAAGGAAACAAAATAGAAAAAAAAAGTAGAATAGAGAAATTTTTAAAATTTAACATCATAAAACCATTGGATGATACATTATATATTGTCACCTTAAAAATAGTTGTTAAAGTTACAAAAACAAAGTGTAAAAAGTGGCTAACTACTTAAACATAGGCAGTACAAACCCTTCTTTTCAATATCTCACAGAAATGTAGTAATATGGGCATCTATCTTACACATTATACATATCATTATTTCCTTTAGAACACTATTTTCCCTTTCTCCTTTGCAATATTTTATACTTTTTGGATCTCATTACTTGGTCAGTTTTTTTTATTACTTTTAACACCATAGAGATAATGTGATATTTACTAATGTGAGTCTTTTAATTTCACTAATGAGCACATTGTCAACTTGCCTACATTTACCAATAAAGGCCTCAAGATCATCCTTTTCTATAGCTGAGTAGTTATCAATTGTGTAAAAATACATTCTTTTCATCCACTCTGCAGTTAATGAGCATTTTGGTTGTTTACAAGATTTACCTATCACAAATTGTGCAATGAACATGAGTGCACATATATCACTGTGACATGACATTTTCAATTTTTCTTTGAAAATTCCTAGAAGAAAAGCAGGATTGAATGGAACTTCAAATCCTAGGTTTTTGAGGAATCTCCATACTGATTTCCACAGTGGCTGCAACAGTCGGCACTTACACCAACAGTGGAGAAGTGCAGTGGTGCACTTCACCAAGATTTGTTATCAGTTGATTTCTCGATGGCGGCCATTCTTTCCAGAGTGAGATGAAATCTCAATGCTGTCTTAATTTGGAATTCTTGAACAACCAATGATGGTGAATATTTCTTTATATATTTATTTGCCATTTGTATACCTTCATCTGAAAACTGTATATTCATCTCTGATGCCCATTTTTGGAGAGGGTCTTGGAATCTGGGGGATTTGATGTTTTTCAATTCTTTATATGTTCTGGATATGAATCCCTTGTCTGAAGGATAGTTAGTTAAAATTATTTCCCATTCTGTGGGATTTCTGTTCACTTTGTTGGTGATTTCCTTTGAAGTTCAAAAACATTTTAATAATATGAGATCCTGGTTGTTGATTTTTTGAAGTATTTCCCATACAGCTTGTGTTTTATTCATGAATTCTCTGCCTAGCCCTATGTCTCCAAGATTTCTACCTAACTTGTCCTCCAGTAGATTTAGTGTTTCTTTTTTAACTTTTAGATCCTTGATCCATTTTGACTTTAGTTAAATGTATAGTGATAGGCATGGGTCTAGTTTTAGTCTTCAGCATGTGGAAAGCCAATTTTTCCCACACCATTTATTAAAAAGGCTATCTTTCTTGCAGTGAACATGTTTAGCTCCTTTGTCAAATATAAGGTGGCTGAGTGTCTCTGTGGCAGTGTTTATATCTTCTATCTGTTCCACTGATCCTATGGTCTATTTCCTTGCCAACAGCATGCTGATTTTATCACCATGGCTTTGCAGTATAGTTTCAAGTCAGGAATTGAGATGCCTCCTTCTTTGTCTTTGTTGTCCAGTATTGCCTTTGCTATTCTAGGTTTCTTCTGTTTCCAGATGAATTTGGGGGAATATTTCCTCTAGATCTGTAAGGTGTGTTAATGATATTTTGATTGGGATTGCATTGAATATATATAACAGTTTGGAGAGTTTCACCATTTTCACAATGTTGGTTGTTCCTAACTATGATCAAGGAATATCCTTTCATTTTCTAATATCCTCTTCAATCTCCTTTTTTAGAGTAGTATAATTTTCATCATATAGGTCTTTTACATTCTTGGATAGGTTGATTCCTAAGTATTTCATTTTTTTGATGCTATTGTGAAAGGCGATATTTCATAATTTCTCTCTCTTGGAGATTTTGTGTACAGGAATACTATTGATTTTTGAGTATTGACTTTCTATCCAGGTATGCTGCTGTTTATCATCTTAATAGGCTTTTAATAGATTTTTGGGGGTCTTCTATGCAAAGTATCATGTCATCTGCAAATAATAACTTAACTTCTTCTTTTCCTATTTTTATTCCCTTTATTTCTCCATCTTGTCTGATTGCTCTGCTAATAGTTCCAGAACTATATTGAATAGGAGTGGTGATAGTGCACATCATTTTTTTTGTTCCTGATTTTAGTGTGAAGGCTTTCAGTTTTTGTCCACTTAGCATAACATTGGCTGTAGGTTTGTCATAAATGGTCTTTATGAGACTGAGGTAGATACCATCTATTCTGACTTTCTGTAGGGTTTTCATCATGAACAAGTGTTGGATTTTATCAAAAGATTTTTCTGCATCTATTGAGAAGTTCACGTGATTTTTATTTTTGGCTCTGTTGATGTGGAGTATTACATTTATTGATTAGCATATTTTGAACCATGCCTGCCATCTTGGAATCAATCCCAGTTGGTCATGCTACATAATCCTCTCAATGATTTGCTGCATTCTATTTGCCAATATTTTATAGAGAATCTTTGAATCAGTGTTCATTAGTGAGATTGGTCTGTATTTTTCCGCTTTGGTTGTGTCTTTCTCTAATGGTATCATAGTGATACTTGACTCCAAGAATGAGTTAGGGAGGACTGTTTCTCTTTCAATTTCATTGAAGAGTTTAAGAAATATTGGAGTCAGGTATTCTCTAAATTCCTTATGAAATTCAGCCGTGAATATATCAGGACCTAGATATTCCTTTGTTGGTAAGTTGATAAATCATTTTCAATTTCAGTAGCTGATACTGATTTACTCAGAATTGTTATATCTTCTTGATTGAGCCTCAATAATTCATGTTTCTAGAAATCTGTCCATTTCCTCTGTGTTTTTGACTCTATGTGAGTAGAGATTTTCAAAGTATGTGTTCATGATCTTTTGAATTTCCATGGCATCTGTACTAATTTCCATCTTTTCAGTCCTTATTGTGTGGATTTGAATTTTTTCTTTTTCTTAATAAGAAGGTTATCAGTTTTGTTTATTCTCTCTCTCAAAAAAAAAAAAAACCAACTCATTGATTCGTTAATTTTCTGCATTTTTTTTAGTTTCAATTGCATTAATTTCTGCTCTAATCTTTACAATTGTCTCTCTTGTATGAGCTTTGGGTTTGACTTGCTCCTCCTTTTCTAGAAACTTGAGATGTAGCATTAGGTTATTTATTTGTTGTAGGGAGTGGTGCAACTGCCCCACTGCTGTCTCCCCGCCTCTCCCTCCTATGGGCACATAATGCACCTGCCTATATTAACCATAGTCCTCTCCTACTTACGTCACATACACAGACATGATGATGACCCATCAGAGATTACCCCATAGCCTCTTCGTGTCCCACCAGCCCACCCCTGCCATATAAAACCAGTGACCACTTTATTAATAAATGAGACTTAATTGGACTCCCTTGACTTGTCTCTGACACTCTGTGTCTGGCCCTGTCTGTGTTAATCCCCATCCCTTCTCCAGGAAACTGCCCCACAGATCTGAATTGACCTGCAGGCCGGGTCAAGTGGCGCCTGTCATGAGGCTCTTGGCATGAAGGGCTCAATGAGGGAGCCATCCTGAGACACACGCATTGAAGTGAAACTAAAAGTTTTGTGACCAACGCTACGCAGGAGCCTGTTGCACCGCTAGAGTCATGGTAAGTGGACAGCAATCCTTTTCCCTTTTCTCTGGCATGGGTCAGGCATTAAGCGACCATAAATGCTTTGTATCAAGTTTAAGTAAAGCTTTAAAGACAAGAGGGATAAAGGCTAAAGAAAAAGACTTATTGCAGTATTTTCAATTTATTCATAAGGTTTGCCCTTGGTTTCCTTTAGAGGGCTCTATTGATGCAAAAAGATGGAAAAGAGTAGGAGATGCATTAAAGGATTACTATCGGGTCTTTGGCCCTGAAAAGGTCCCAGTTACAGCCTTTGCCTACTGGAACCTAATCTTGGAGCTACTTACACAGCATTGCCAAGCCCCTCAAATTGATAAAACAACCACCCAAGGTGAAGTCACTTTACACGCTTCCACTTCGCCAACATCTCTCCCTTCAGGAGATGAATCTAAACCTTCTCCAGAGAAGCTGCAGAGCGAGCAGTGGCTTCCCCCAAGCCAGAGATCCAGAGAGGGAGAAAAATAAATACTGGAAAGGAGGAGAGAACATAAGAGGGAAAGAACAGGAGGTGGATCACAGTTATTTTATGTGTGAACCTTAATATTTGCATCACATGATGTCTACCATATTTGGTTATTTAAGAATGAGTCAGGAGCTGGTGAGACAGCTCAGTGTACAATACTTGCTGACAATGCATGCAGCCCTGGGCTCAATTTCAGTGCTAATGCAAAACAATAACACTAATAATAGTAAATAACTAAGTGAGGCCCATTAGGTAGGGAATGGATTACTCACGTTGTAGCCATCAGAAAGTTAGCTGTCACCTATTGAGTAGGACCAGTCATGGGTGTGGTGACTCACATAGGTGTGAATATAGAAGCACTGCCAGTAGATTTTGGGGTGCAACTCCATCCATAGTTCTTGCTTAGCCTGTGTGAGTTCCTAACTTGAGGGCATAACACCAATACGTAGAAGAAATTGCGATATTTAGGGAACATAAAGATGACTGAATCAATGAAATTCCGCCCCTTCACAATACTACCAGGGAATACGTCCAGAAGTTGTGTGTCATTTCTGCCACCAGGCAGTGGGGGCCAGGCCTATGTGCACTGTATTCCACATCCATTGCACCCCTTCCTGGATTTAACCTCTAATTCTGTACAGTATGTCTATGTGATATCAGCCCAAAGGCATTACAATTGTCATCTCACATTGCCAATAAGGTCCCTAGGAAGTAGATGCCAGGGTAACCTCTGTAGTGCAGGAGGACACTCTGTGAAGGTTCTGAGAGGCACGGTGTCTTGTCTTAGGAAGTCAGAAGGAGGAGTTGGGTCTAAACCCAGGTCTTTCCCCTCAGAGCTGTGACCCTGCCTGCACTGTCTTTTTTCTTAGCCTTAGGGAAGCTTTGCCTACTACCAAGGGCCTGTCACTTGATTGAAGCTGTTCTCTTCATTATAAAGGACACCAGAGTGTCATTCTATTGGCTACCATGGTATCCATAGCAGGAATCTCTGGGGAATACCAGGGGGCACAATTCCACACAGACATCATGGAGGGAGCTGGTGAGTGCCTTTAATCATCAATTTACTAAGCTGTGACCATGATGCAGTGACCAGAGCAAATGTAACCACTGCTCTCTTGTGATTCCATGTTATCCAGGACACAAGTCCCTCTGAAGAACAGATCAGGTACTATCCACATTACCGTAAATGTGCCTAACTTCCTGGCCTCTGTACATTTGAACACATATTAGGGGAAGGGGTGTCCCAAGAAGGTACACAGAATGGGATGATACATCACTATATGAACTGAAGATGATGGCAGGCAGAACACACTCCCTCTGTTCACTCACTTCACTGATATTTAAAGTGCACCAACCCTGTAGAGTAAGCACGAGTAGAGTAACACTGCAGATACCATTCTTTTTCTCACAGAGACAACACACCACGAGGGTGGGAAAGGAAGATGCATTTCGTGCTTTCCTCAAGAACAGAGGACAGGTGGTCTCAGCACTATTAGGGACTTCTTTCAGCAGGTGAAGGCTTCCTGAGCCAGCACTGCCCAATTCAAGGCAGAGAGAAGGTTGGGCTGGTCTCTCTGCAACTGGAGCAGGAGGCTGGTGTTCAACTCCACAAGATGCCCCAGCTGAATTGGACCAACCTGAGCTCACTGAAGCTGAGCCCTGCCTTCAGGAGGGATTGGCCTGGGTCTGTGGGCCTCTGGGGATTGCATAAGACACTTTACATGGAGAAAGACTGCCAGACTTGGGATCTCTGGCAAGCCTGAGGCATGTACAAGTGAGTGGGTCAAGGAAGAATGAGAAACTTTGCTGGGGTGGATTTGTGCACAGAGCTGTCTGTGACAGGCACTGTGAAGTTCTCGGGCCTGCAAGGAACAAGGACAGTTGGTGATTGTTCTCCTTCTGTTGATGCAAGGCTAGTACCTGATGACCTGAAGTCGGACTTGCAGAATTTGTGCCAGCTGGACTCCAGTGACCTCGCCAGCTCTGGGATCAAAGTGAAAACTAAGGTTAGGCACCCTTTCTTAAGGAATTTCAGAACTGGCGCTTTTACTAGCTCCATGGCAAGAATCCTGAGCTCCACTTCCAGCCAAGTGCTGCAGAGAACCTCTGTTCCCTTCCCCTTCTTTCCTTTGTACCCCTTGTATTTCTTTCAGCTTTCATTTTAGTCTTATTATCTATAATTGTTCTCAACATTAAAGTCTAAGATAATTTTAATTAAAAGTTAAGATGTCATTAGTTTCAACATGTTCAATTCAGTAGCACATAAGGACATCATCAACTTGTACAATTTCTACATCTATTGATTTCTAGCTTTCTGTTCAGTGTTGGACTCATCCATATGCCTGTACTCTTCTACTAGTCCCAACCCACCTCTGATTTTTCTCTCACTGTGATTTGCTACTCTGGGTCGTTAATATTCAAGCATCAGATTATGTTTGGCCAAACATTACTGGAGGAGACTGGCTACCATTGCTTTTTCATAGAAGAGAAAATCCCAAATAACCAAAATCTACAGCGAAAATGTAAGAAATCTACTGATCTTTTCATGTTGGAAAAGCTTTCCCATGATAGAAGGGAGAGAGAAAGATCTGATTCACTGCATTTGAAAAACAGAAAAAGAATAATGTAGAATCCACAATAAGAAATCTTTCCTTACAAGCAATAGGCAGAGAGTTTGTATTAGAGGTGTCAAAGAGGTGTCTATGAGTCCATTCTGTGAGAGATGAAAAATTCTTCTAACTCAAAAGAGAACCACCAAGTGTGGCCAACAAATGGAGAAGACGCTGGGCCCCACAAGGGTGATTCATTCAGGAATACATCCCTGACATGTGCTGTGATCCCATCTGATGGCAGACTTTAAGGCAAGTGCTGAACAGTACTGAGAAGAACATGGTGGGTGGGGCAGAGCCCTGTCCAGAAGCTCCCATCACAGCTCTCACAGGTGTCCCCAGACTTTGAGGTCTAAAAATAGAGATTTATCCTACACAGAGATCTGTATAACTTTTCAAGCTTTCTTTTCAAGACTGTTGTTCACAACACTGCTTGAAGCAGGAGGAAAATGTGATCCTTGCTACCCTCAACGTAGAAGGTGCGGGGCATCAGTGTGGGTCAGGAGAACCAGGAAAAGCTGTGCAGATGCTGAGCTTGATCTCTCTGGGCCACAGGGTAAGAGGACAAGGAATCTGATCATGAAATAATACATGGATGAGAGAAGGATGTGTGTTCAAAGTCAGAGGATACTGACTTTGAAAATGCAATGTCTCTGACATCAATGTGCGTCCACACACAGACATGTAAGAATCTATGTTCAAGAATGGTGTCTCAGCAGTGTAGCTACTTATGGAAACCCTGGCTCAATATAAAAAAGAATTTTAAAACAGAATTTAGTGTAGTTCAGTGCATGGCCATGCGCTATAATTCACAGAATTATGTTAAGGAAAAAACACAGACAAACTGGGAGCGATGTGAGGGGCTGTAGAGCACCATCACCTGGTCTTCTGGAGAGCAGTGTGCCCCAACTATCTTGAGCCTCCACACCTTTCTTGGGCACATTGATTTAAAAAAATGATCAATTCCATGAAGGAGGGGGAAAGGAGGATATTCACCCAAGAATACAAAGTCTCAGTCACAATGGAGAAGAAATGTTCAATTTTACAATAAACTGAATGGTGACCACAGTTAATAAGAAGTATAGCTTTCAAAACTGCTAAACAATGAGATTGGCAGTCCCATTCACTGTGAAACAATCTGTAGGTAAGGTGGTAGACACATTAACTTGATTGATTCTTTCTACAAAGGAGCCATAGATCACAAGTGCATGTCATCCCACAAACATACATAATTATTGTGAATTGCCAAGTGAAGATACCTTATACCTGCACTCTCAGCATTCTGGGAGGCTAAGGTAGGAGGACCACAAGTTTAAACCCAATCTGGGGAATTGAGTAAATTATTTAAAGTCTGTCTTAAAAATTAAAAAAAAAAAACTAAAGTATATGGGCATACAGCTCATGGAGAATTCCCTGGGATCACTGAACACAGTATAAGAATCATTATTGTATAACTATTCTGTTATGAAAATTTTAATCTATAAATGTTTTCATATTTTCTGTTTTACCATCTACTTGTGCTATATAAAATAAGAAAAGAGGAAAAAAGTACTTATTAGTTTGTTTTGTTTTGAGACAACATCTTGCTACGTACTGCAGGCTGACCCTGAACTCACCATGTATTTCAGGCTAGCCTGGAACTCTCTGTGATCCTCTTGTGTAACCCTTGAGAGTGCTGAGATTACAGGCATGCGCCACCATGCATAGCAAGAAAATTTTTTTAAAAATTTATTTTAAAGGGAATAAAACCAAATAAAAAAAATAGTCAATCAAAACAAAAGGATGAACATGATACATGACTTAAAAACAAAATCAAACAGTAGGTTGTGTGGCCTGTTTCTTAGCCAGCACAGAAAAGAACTCAACACCTTGCTGAACACCAAATTTGTCCAGATAACTGGACAAATACCTAGATTTTGAAAGTCGTCTATTTAAACATGTCTTGTTTAGGAAGCAATTCATATCAAGCGCCAGGGAAAGAACACAGAACTTTGATTTACTATTTCCAATTTCCGGAATTTATCCCAAGAAAAAAGATACATGCTCAACACCAATTTTTCTAAGAGGAACTAGATTTGTATACATGGTCAGTAACAGGATAACTAAGTAAAACTCTACCTATGCATATAATATAAATATTCAACACTATGCAAATACATAAATGCTGTGAGCAGAACAGGGGAGTAATGGTTAGAGACAGCCGAATATGGACAAGATGGGTATCCTGCAGCAGGTTCAACAATGTTGGTGAATTAGTTTTATTTGTGGATTTAAATTTTTGAACTGCTGATCACACTGGCTCATCCCTCAAAGCCCCATGCCACATTCAGACTCCTCACAAAGCCTAAACACCCAAGTGGCGCCAATTTGAAAAGAAGCAGAAACCCCCCTATCAATGGAAGGGACTTGAGCCAAAGCATGTCCAGGTAGAATAATAACTGCTACCTTTCTGTAACATCTAGGTCCTCTCTGTCTCTGCAGGGAGGAGCTCCGAGTGGAATAAAATCGTCATTTTGGGGGTAAATATCAGTGGCTCAGCATGGCCTGGCTCACTGACAGCAGAGGCCATGTGAGACCTGAGCTGCCTGCCTCAGTTCCCACAGCTAGGCTGGGCTCCCAACAGCGCCTGGCTGGGCCAAGACCCCGGGGCTGCACACGAGGCCTGGCCATTCTAACCCTGACGGAGAGGAGGGAGAAAGGAAGCTAGGGGCCCTTCAGGACCCAGGCTGGGTCGCCCCGAGCGCCGGTCCCGCTGCCGCCCCGGCCCGCGAACCCGCCGGCAGGACTCACTGCGCCGCTAACGTCGGGGCCACCAGGCCGCACCGCCGCTCGCCCCCGGCTCACGCCCGCCTACCTGGCCCAGGCCCCAGGCCCCATCCCCCGCCCCACAGCAGCCTAGGCCGAGGAAAGAGGAGCGCTGCGGTCTCCAGATGGCATCTCTACCAGCAAAATGGCGACTCCACACACAAGACCAGCAATAGCTGCGAGGGCGAGGCTGGGGGATGGGCGAGGCTGGGGGATGGGCGAGACAGAGCGGGATGTGGAGGTGCACGGATCCGGGCGTCCAGGGCGCGGCCCCCTGGGGGAGGGGCGGGGGCAGCGGAACCTTCACTCAAGGCTGGGGGGTAGGGCGAAGCGGTGTGAGGGGCGGGGCCAGAAGCTGGGGCCAAGTAGGTGCAAGCCTGCCAGTGGGACTAGAATGAGGCAGTGGACCTGGCAGTGGGGGTTAGGTCCCCACTGAAGCAGGGTTTGGCTGCAGGTGGAGGTCTCTGATGAGGCTTCTGGGAGACCCTGAACCCCAGGCCCACTGTGAGACAAAGCAGAGGAGTGGACTGAGTCTGAGGCTTGGAATTTATAGATGTCTGGACTCAAAACTTCTGGCCCTGATACATTAGGCACACTGCTATGCTTCTCACAGCCTCAATTTCCACTATTGTTATTCTCCTATTATTTTGTTGTGAAATATTGTGGGGTTTACTTTATTCAAAAAACGAACCGTGATGAATGGCAGTAGTCATTCCTTGGCACTGCTGTAAAGATCCAATGAAACCCTGCAGAGATCTTCCCATGGTTCCTAGCATATAGCAAGTGCTCAGATGCCATTGTTATTTGCTTTGTTGCCTTTCTTTTATTGCAGAGAAAGGAGTGCTTTCGGTATCTGTCGTCTAATGTCTTCATAACTTAAAAGTATGTTTACATGTTAATATAACATAATAACAAGCATATGTACCAGTTATTGTGTCAGGCCAGGGCCTCTCTGAGGCACTTTACATATGTTAATTCTTACAAGAGTGTGAGTTAGCAATTATCTTCATTTTCATAGCTGTGTGAGCCTAGACACCAATATTTAATACCTTTTCCAATGACAAAGCAGTGGATAGAATTTTAACCCAAGAGACCTCACACCAACCCCTCCATTAACTAACCCATAGTTAGCACAGCACCACTACAGTTCTGCCTTGTATTTTTCACATGAGTGAGGCAGCAAATTGTTCATGGGAGGTTGCACAGGTAGTAGAGGCAGTTTTTGTCAGGGTTCACTAGAGGGTCAGATTTAATTTGTGTGTGTGTGACACTTAAAGGATTTACAGAGGAGTCTTAGGAAGGCCATCTGCAGAGTCAGGTGGAGAACACAAAAGGGCCATGTTCTCCTTGGAGATGCAAAAGATCCAGTCAATAGTCTGAGTCCTGGACCTCACTGCAGAGTCCTGGAAGAGTCCCTGGCAGGAAGCAAAAGAATCTGTGCTAGGAGACTGGAAATGACACCTAAGGTGATGGCAAGCACTCGAACTCTTCTGAAGAGGCAGAGCCAGACATTTTACTTTCTCTTTTTACTGCATCCAGGATGCAGGCCTATTGGTTGCCCACCATACACAGGGAAGGTCTTCCATCTTTAGTAAGTCAGTAATCTAAACACAAACACAAAACTGTGCTAAACCAATCAGCTAGGTGTTCTTTTTTGTTGTTTTTTGGTTTTTTAAGACAGGATTTTGCTATGCAGCTCAGGCTGTCCTTGAACTCACTGTGTTGCCCAAGCTAGTCTCAAACTCAGATTTTGCTGCCTCAGCCTCCCAAGTGCTGAGTTTACAGGTGTGCACCACCACACCCAGTTCCTCCTTCATTTGAATGCACTTATTCCATCATTCTTGCCTTTTTCTTCTGAATCAATTCTGGATGTCCTCTTATAAGGATCTTAGCTTTGCTGTTGTGGCTGCTTCAATGTCTTGAATCAATTCAAACTATTTACTTTTCATGGTCATTTTGATTTTGCAGAAAAGTCAGAAGTCACAAGGGTCCAGATCTGATGAATCAGGTGGGTGAGGACACACCAAAATATATTTATGAGCTGTCCTTTCCATTGGATGGCACTCAGCAGCATCAGTCACTATATTATTTATCTCAATTTGTAGACAATTGTATAAGTGGACTTCCAAAACTGCTTCAAAAAAGCAAGAACAAATGAAGAAGTGTCTTTGAAGCAAGGAGGTGTATTTTATTTATTTTAAGGAGGTATTTTTTAAAGGAGAATTAATGGGCACATATCTTTTATTGTAGTAAATTTAAAAATTTTTAATATTAGCTGTTTATTTGTTTTATTTTTATAATTAGTATATCTTGATCAGCCCTTGTACTTCTTCCATAAGATTGTTAATTAAACATCTGCATATTCACTGTCCCTAATACAAAATGATTGGAACCAGATGTGTTTGGAATTTGTGAATTTTTGGTTTATTGGAGAATTTGCATATATATAATAAGTTATCTTGAGGATGGGATCCAAGTCTAAACATGAAATTTATTTATAGATCATATATACTTCATATTCATAGCTTGAAGATAATTTTACATTATATTTTTAATAATGTCATGTTTAACATGTGTACTGAGTTGTTTTCCTGTTGTGGGAAATTGAAAATGTAGATAAGAACCAAAATAAAATACATATTGTGAATGTTATCTAATGAGATGGGGAATTAGGGATGGAGGAGGGCGAAAGGAAGGAAGGCAAAAAAAATTAATGAGAAAAGAAAGAAACAAACCTTTCATAAATAAGGAGGGGAAGAGACTTGAAGGAAAGGTAGGGGAATGGAGAAAAAAGATTCATATCATGTATGCTACAAATTTCCCGTGGTTAACATGATCATAATTTACACCTAAAATGTGCCAATAATCTTAATTAAAAAACATTTTGTGTTTGAAAACAAAATTTCTTGCTGTGGAATTTTCTACTTTTGGCACTGTATCAGTAGTAAAAAGTTTTGGACTTTGAAGCATTTCAGACTTCAGATTTCATATTAGGAATGCTCAGCCCATATTTGGATAGTGATTTGATAAATATCAATAGACTGTAAGCTTTGTGGTGAGAGTATGAGAGCAGGCTCTTTGTCTCTACTGGTGTCATGGTTTATGTCAGTGACCATTCAAGCCTCATGCAATCATGGATGTGGCCAAATCTAGCATTTCTGAATGGTTCATTGTCTAACACTTAGATTGGTGGTATGAGTGCTACATCTACACAGGGGTGGAGCGAACATACAGTGTACCTGTGGGAAGAAGGCCTGCCTTTCTCTTTTGCTGTTCATGCTTGCTGTTTGTATCCACCACAAACTGCTGCCTCTCAGCCATGTCATTTTGCCTTGGAGCCAACTGAGGATGGACTGAAACCTCCAATCTGTAAGAAATAAACCCTTCATTCTTTCATGTTGGGCATCAGGTATTTTGTCTCAACAACCAGTGAAAAGTAACTAAAACAACAGGTAATCATTGTTTCTCAGTACTCACCTCAATGTCTGACACAAAAATGGTGCACTTTTGTTGACAGAAAGAAAACAAGCAGTAGCACACAATTTTAGATTTGTATCACACAGAATTTCACTACTTATAAGGCTCTATAGTGAAATGAGGTCTCATCAGATTTCCTTAGTGTAGGCACTAAGCTTGTCATTTCTTTTGCTTTATTATAGCAAATAGTGTTCCTCTGTCCAGTTTTCATTCTCCCTCTGGTCTTAAAAATCACTTGTAAGCAGTTATACAATCTCATGCTGGGCATGGAACTCAAGACCTTCTAACTGCTAGGCAAGTCTCTACCTCAAGATACATTCCAGCCCTCCCTTTCTTATCCTGGAATTTAAGCTATGGGAATGTACTATGGTGGATGTTCAGTCCAAATGACTGACCAGGGAACTGTAGTTTTAGGTCCAAGCTGATTGAAGATATTTTCAAGGCTCAGACTCTTGCATGTGGAATATGAATCAAGAGGTCCAAGGCTAAGAATCTTGCTATTATTTGATGGAAGTTTTTTTGTCCCCAAGCAATGTACTGTAGCAGAATGATCCCTTGCCTCAGGTGGCAGGAGCTGACTGTCAAATACCAGGAACAGGGTCTGCATGCTGACTCTACAATTGCAGAAATGACCTTAAACAGATCCAGTCACTTTTCCATGCTTAATTTTCTCACTTAAAAGCAATCACTTATTTTAGCAGCTGTACAGAGACTGGAGGTGAGAAACAGCATTTCCATGGTGTTCTTGAGTCAGAGGTGGCCAGGAGAAACTGTTTGCAGCTGATTCTTCAGCCATGCATCCCTGGCCATCAAGGAAGAAGAACAAGGCTGTTGTGTTTCCCTAAGAAAAACAAGAGGACAATGGCTTGTCCTGCAGTGGGAGGGAGCAGAGGCCTAAATCAGGTCACCACGCAATGGGGCTTTGAAAGTTTCACCATTGAATCCTCTCCCCATCCTCTAATTTTTCTTTTTCTGTTTGCCCCTTAATCATTGTTTTGATAATTATGATAATATTCACACATTTCAAAAAGTCCAACAAACAAGGAGAAAAAATTAGAAATATTTGCACTTTTTCTGTGTAGAAAGGTAACTATTGTTTGTACATTTTTAGCGTCCCTTTTCCTATTAATGATTTATTGTAGACATGGTTCCAGGGTGACTGATTTAGGTTGACATCATTGTAACAGGAATTACTGAAATAGGAGTTAGGATTCTACTAGGCCTTAAGGCCAGCAGCCCCAAAACAGAATCTTGAAGTCCAAAATGGAGCCTGCTGAGTTGTGATCCTCCAGGGACCTTACCGAAACATCTGTTGACTGTCCTTCAGCTGTTCCAGACCTTTCCAGAGCATAATCTGGCAGGCCATTGGCTGGAGGGTACATGGCCTGTGCATGGGCACTGTGTGAACACTGGTTGGCCTGCTTCGGTGACTCAAGGAAGATGTTCATGCGTGAGGTCCCAAGATTAGAGAATGTACATGTTCAAGACATCAGCAACAAAGGTAGGCAGCGTGGAGCACAGCAGAGAACCACTGTGTTTTTTTATTGTATAATTCTTACCCAGGTTGTTATCTCATATTTACATTCTTGTGTAGAGTTCTATCCAGTGCATACAAGTTCACCTGTGCTAAGTCATGGTCACATAACTATATCCCACTGTGTGCCTATGCAGACAACCAGGGTCAGGTCCTCAGTTGTCTTTAGATATCCCTGAAATGTGAAGCATTCTGAGTGATTCCTCACAACACTGCATAGATTGAACCCTGAAAAGTAGGTAGTCTTCCATAGGGTAGCTCTTTTCTAAACCCATTAAAACTTCTAGACAAAGACTGCCTCGTGGGTATCCTACTCAGAACCCCCTCCTTGCTGGAGGGAACTTTACTCCCTTGCCTTTATAGCTATCAGAGTTGAGGAGGCTAAGGGGTAAATTGCTTGTGAGGTCCCCAGAGACAGCAGGAAGGCAGACATCGGCCCATCAGCAGCAGCAGGCAGCAAGCAGAGAGAACAATTGTATCTTTATCATCCAGGCTCTGTATATGTTGTTGTGTTTACATTCTTTCATGCTGGCTTCCCAGTAGTGCCACAGGCTGATGACCAAACCTCTACCACAAGGATCTCTGAGGGACAATTACAATCCAAACTATCACAGACACAAACAAAAAGCAATTTTCATGTGTGCATCTCTCATGGGCCAACAGTGGTGTCTAACTCACATTGCCTGCACTTCCTTCCCCTCAGTGGGACATTGCCGTTCTTAACAGCAGAGGGAAAAGAATGTTTACTAGTTATTCAGTGTCAGCTGTGAAAAATAGAAGTCTAAAAAAATAGTACATGGGAAACAGTGTTGCAATTCAGGTGCACTTCCTCAAGGCAGCCCCATAAGGCAGATGCAGTGAAGTTTGTTGCAGGGGATTCCCACAGAGTTATTTTCAGAGACAGCTCCCTGCCTAGGCGGACACCTGAGTCACACATGCATCTGACTGTTAGTTAACAAAGACATTCCTGGGTGAGGGGTGTTGGAGGAGGAGGTGAAGAGCTTCAGTTGTTCTCTAAATCTAGGAACATTCTGCAGTATCACCTTCAGCTGGTTTGCCTACTCTCCTACAGCTATTTCCTGACTTACCTCAGGAAGTCTTAATCTTAGCTTTCTGGTTTTGTTTTATTTTGTTTCACAGCCCTGACTTTTAAGAATTGTATTGGGTAGTGGCATGTGTCACTTGCATTTGTGTCTGACAAATATTCTCTCCTTGCCCAAACCCTAGTCAGGATCCTGACAGGGTCTGAGGAGTCTTCACAAAGAGGAGATGGGGACCTCTACTCATGCTGGGCCTTGTGTAGAGTTTCCTGTCTTGTCATGGAGGAGAATTGCTATGTACTCTGTGACAGGCTCAGGTATCTGCATTATCCAATCTTAGGAAGTGTCCTGCTAATTCAGCTGGCCATAAGCCTCCATCCCTGATTTCTGATCACCCTTAACATCTGATTGGGTCCTCATCCTCCACCATCTCGCAGCTCATGCCTGTTGAGCCTGGCCTGCCCTCTGCAAGCATCCTGTTAGCCTGGGTCAGGAAGCAGCTCCCTTCCATCTGCTGCTCACTCTTAGTGTTGCCAACGCCCTGACCTGACCCTGTTCTGCAGCTGTGCATCACTAATTTTCCAAGGTGCATGTGGAGTTCTTTCTCCTCCACTCTTAAACCCCTCACAGTGGCTCCTGCCTCTCTTACGATGGTCCCCATATTGTCAGAAAGTTCTTGAAAACACAAACAGGGCCCAAAGAGCGACCCAGAGGACTGTGGCAACTTCCTAAATGAACCAAGACAAGAAAAGCTCTGGGAGCAGCTGCACCACTGCTTTGGTGGTTGGTTGTTCTGTCCCCATCCCAGGAAAATTGTTGTTGAGATCAGGAGAATGTCAGGTACAGAGTTAAGGCTGCATACGTTTAGTGCATACAAAAATAGCAGGTGCTCTCTGTCACACAGTGTACATGTAAAGGTTAAGCAGCCGTTAAATATCTAGACATCTCTTTAAAGTTGGTCCTGGCACTTAAAGCTTGATCTACATCTACTGGGATTTATTAAATAAGCATTTTGCTACTACATGAATGAGATACAATTGTATTGGGTAATAAGTCTATATATATATATGGTCATTAACATAGTTTCCTATATTTACGAGATTTCTATAGACGTCCTTTAATCCTCAAATTCTGTATTTTATTAAAAAATCTAAACTTTGCCTTATGAGTAAAATCTAAGTAAATACATGTTAAAGTTTCTACATAGTGTTGCTATTAATTATTGCTAACCTCATAGTATATTAAATACATTTGTTTTCCCAAGAGTGTAGGGTGTTTTTAAGATGTAGAGTGCGATAAAGATATCTCCTCATATTTACGACCTGCAAACTGCACTTGTAAGTGAGATCTGTGGTGCCTAGGAGAGATGGCAATCAGAAGGAGGTGACTAGGTTGATGGATTTGTCCCACTCTATTTGAGTGCACATGTGGGTGTTGGGTCTGAGAGATGTTGTGTGCTTGAACAAAAGGCCCCTAAACTGGTTTTTGCACACTAGAAGGGCTTGGCTGATTGGCTGGCTTTGTCTTCTGCCCAAAGTATTAACCAGAATCCCTCTCACTCAGCCTGGCTGCGTCAGGAACTCTCTCTAGCAGAGCATTGTAGTTCACAGAATGGCCAGGAGGTGGAGACGGAGCAGAGAGTCAACTTTGACAAGTTTCGTAGGAAGGCAGCTAGGAAAGTGAAGCTTTGGTAACAAGGAATAAGAAAGGAAAATGTTGAATTCAATGAATGTTCATAAATGAAATTAACATCCACCTCTTATCCTCTTTTCTGGCTGCTTCTCCTCTCCTCCCCCAAGATAAATACTATCCAGAGAATAATTTGTCCTGTTTTTATCAGTTATACATATGCATGTGCATTTATATCCCTGTATGTGCTCTTACAGTTTGTGTTTTCTGAGGGTGTGTGTGACTTTTTCACTTATCTTTATGTTTGTGAGTTTTACACATTGATCCATCCACAAGCCATTACATCTATGACCTGTTTCATGTAGTTACAGATGTATTTGTTCTCACGACTCTGAGTCTCACCTTGATTTGTCCCTTCTCCTGGCCAGTCTCTTCTACTCACAGGTTGATGTATTTTTGGGTAATTGCTAGTTTGAGGGCAATTACAGTTCTGTGGCTATGAAACTCCTAACATCTCTTTAAGTGGATCTATCTATCTATCTATCTATCTATCTATCTATCTATATAGATAGATATATTCATAACCTCAGAGTGATCTGTTTTGCTTATTTGAGACTTGTTTTTTTTTTTTTTTTTGAGAGGCAAGCCTTAAACTCATAAGGTCAAATGGTATTCCTGCCTAAGCTTTCTGAGCAGCTGGCTCTCCAGGCATGTAGTAGCATGCCAAGTTAGCTTTGTTCTTAACCTGTTTCTTTAGTAGTCTTTAGGCACTTGTGCCAGGCACTTTGCTAAATAATACAAGTGATGTTAAAAATCCCTGACAGTGTTGGGCACATCGCTCAGTGGTAGAGCTCTTGTCTAGCATGTGCAGGGCGCTAGACTTAGTAACCCATGACATCTGGTCCTCACAACCTAGAGGGAAGATAGGTGTGCAGGTGTGTAACTGACCACAGTGATCGTGATTCAGCATAGGCATTGATCACCATGGCCTGTGTGGTGACCCAAAAGATCTCAGGTTTTCCAAATCTAACTGCAAACCGGGTAGAGGGCTGTCAAAGTGTGAAAGCTGACAGAGAGATGAGCAAAGAGCCGAGCTATGATGCCTGACCAGGCACTGACTGGGAAAACAAGCTTTCACTTCACACCAAGGACAGAGGGGGACAGTCTGCCTCCCCCACTGAAGGGTCTTTGCTACTTTCCCACTGTCACCTGGAGTACTTGGTGCAGTGCCTCACACACAGTGAATTGTTATATTAGCTTCCCAGGGAAAGCTTAGAGTACCACACACCAAATGATTTAAAACAGCAGAAATGTGTTCTTTAAAGGCCTGGGAACTCAAAATCAGAAATCAAGGTGTTAACATGGTCATTCTCCCTTTGAGGTCACAAAGGGAGTCTTGTTCTTCAGCTCTTCTGGTGACTGCTGGTCTCCTTGGCACCTCTTGACATGTACCTGCCCCACATCTTTCTCTGCCTGTCAACACAGGGCACTTTACCCTTGGCCTTTGACTCTGCTCGTATTAAGTGTGAGTTTTAGTACATCTATTTTTACTAATGCAAGATTTTAGCTTTGAGTTTTCTTATGAAAATTTGAAACTTAATATCTAAGTTTTAATGAAGAGGTTGTAATTAAGAGACAGAGACACTTTTAATGTTATGCCGTCCCCCTGGCATATATAAACAGCATCATGTTTAGTTGTGTGTGACTAATTTATGAAAAAAAGTCAAGGATATATTTGCTTGGCCTGGGTGTGATGCTAGCAAAAGCCCACAAGGTAGGCAACGCACTCAGATGCCTTTTTTAGGGCAGGCCAAAAGATGCTGGTCAGTAAAACATTGCTTCCTTGTGCTGATGGCCAGAAAATTCAAGAGGAACCCCAACTGAGAATCACTGATATAGATTGTGAATTCAGGTAACACCCAATTCTTTAGTGTTAACTAATAGTATTAGCTATTTTTGTTGTAGGGGTAGGTTTGTATTTGGTGCTTTACCTTTAAAAAACTTTTATGTTTTTCATAGACATGAAGTTTAAAAACCAAAAAATGACTAAGAGGAAAAAAAGCACAAAACTGAAAATACATGGCAGAGATCACCCCAGGAGGCCTGAAGAGAGTCATTGGAGTGACTGCACACAGTGGGACAGCACTGTGCACTCTGTGTGGTGAAACTGCTGGGTACTGTACATCAAGTGTCAGATGACGCTTTGACACCAACCACAAAAGTGTTGCTAAACTTGGTGAAACTGAAAGGTGAGAGTTTCTAGAAGGAAAACTGGAACTATTCCCAGTCTCTTAGTTCTTGTAATTATCATTCTAAAACAAATATTCCTGTAGATGCCTGATTTTAAATTTTATTGTGCATAGCAAAATATGGCTCAGTGTATTGATTTACTTAGGTACAATGGTGTCCCATGGCTGAGCAGCTGACGTGTCCGGGGAGATCTGCAGCTGCTTGGATGAAATAAGGCTGTTTAGGATGAAAAATGGCAGAAATATCCACAGGTCACTGATGTGGCCTCACATAAAAGTCTCACGGTTTTCATAGATTTTATGCTACACTTCTGTGTACTAAACAAAAAACTACAAAGTTTAGAAAAACAGGTGAAAAAATGTATCGTAATATCAACACATTTGATCCAACACTGCAGGTTTTTGAAAGAGATCTTGAAAGTAGGCAGCTGAATTATTTTCTAATTCTAAGTATGCATTTAGAAAATTCTACAACATTTGCTGACAATCCCACAAGCCATCAGGAAACCTACAAAGAATTTGCTACCATTGTAGTAGCTTCAAAGGAGAATCTTAGTACCAGACTTTCACAGTTCTGTGACATGGAGACAACACTGGGGTTTTTTGTTTGTTTGTTTGCTTTTGTTTTTTGAAACTGTGTCTTGCTGTGCAGCTCAGGCTGACCTTGTGCTCACTTTGTAGCCCAGGCTAGTTTTGAATTTGCAGAGATCCTCTTGCCTCACCTCCTCAGTGCAGGGATTATAGGCATGCGCCAACACAGCCAGCTCACCCTGTGTTTTCTTTCTTCTCCAGATAAAGCCAAATTTGAAGAACTTGATTGTTCATCGTAACACTGGTTAGATTTGGAAATATGGAAATACAATTATTGGAATTTCAAGAAAAACCTGTTGGACAAATAATTTCTATGACAAATGAGCAACACTTGAGAAGACAGAGTGTGAAAGAATGACAAAGGACAGCACAGTTGGCAGTTCTGAAAACGAAATCCTGAGGAAAAAACTCAGCTTCTCCCGAGAATGGGCCATAATGGGCCTAGGAGGAGCCCACCAAGAAAACAACCAGCCAGGCTGTCTGGCAAGCTTTAAAAGCCATGCGAGGTCCAGGAAGAGAAAAGTCAGCTCCTCCTGTGAGACCACAAGCACATGGGCTGAGAATCAGCATCGCTCTCTCCCATAAGCAACTGGCTGGTTCTGCGGACATGTTGAGCTGATAGCAACTGAGGTCCAAAAAGCACCTGAATGCTTGTATTGCTTGCTTGACTTTGCAGGTCTGGGACCAAAGGTCTGAGCATCTATTGGGAGGATAACATAATGAAATATAGCAAATATGGGAGATTTTCTTCTATCTTATCTTTGAAATCCAATATTTTTCTCATTGTTTTGTTTCATTCTGATTGTTTTGCTTTTTTCAGTGTTCCAGTTTGATGGGTTTTATTGTTTTCTTTTGGTTTGATTTTGCTATATCTTGTGGAATGGACAGCAATTGTGAAGATAATGAGATGAACTGTGGTAGCCATTATTGTTTTCCTAATATCTTGCTTTGAAGTTCTGTGCCAATTTCACTGCTTTGTTTTTTGCTTTGTTTTGATTGAGTTTATTCTGTTTTGTTTGGTTTGTTTGATTTTTACTATCTTTAAAGTGAAAAACAAAATCCTTGAAGTGTGGAACTTTCTGCCAAATAATTTAAAATCGGCCATGCATGGTGGTGCATGCCTGTAATTCCAGGAATCAGGAAGTTGAGGCAGAAGGACTGGTGCAAGTTTGAGACCAGCCTGGGCTGTAAAGTGAGCTGGGGAGCAGTCTAAACTAAACTACATAGTGAGATCCTGTCTCAAAAAGAGCAAAAAAAAATTAAGTCAATGAAAGCACTGGTGAATTCTTGTGTTACTCTGGATCATCTTATGCTTGTGGGCCACTGTTTTCAGCTTATTAAATCTGATACATGAAACAGATTAACAGATGACTTGAGAATTGCATGTGTTCCTCTGAAACTAATGCAGAATGAGCCAACCTTTGACAAATTATCAGTATGCATACACCAGCAAAGATATCATTAATTTTGTGAAAGCATACCAAATGTTAACTGTCACTTTTAAGTAAAAACTTGTTTGTGTCATAGAAAACTTTGTGATTGTATTTTTCTTTAAAGGCAAAATGTGTCAATGGATGAGTTCTTTTTCCTAACTAAAACCTCAGGTCAGTACTCAGGTCTAATTGCAGTGTTGGCACTATAATAAATGAGTGAGCTTTTGGTTGCATTTTGGGCCCTTGGTCTCTAAAAGATTTCCTATCACTGATCCAGGAGAACTGAGGGGTGAGGATTACATCCCCAGCTCTCCCATCTAGCCTCTGGCACTCACTGGGGCCCCAGGCATGAACAGGGCATTTGAACACAGTCTAGTTCTTCCAGCTCACCCAAGGCAGATCCCAGACTGAACATCAGTTCCCTGGGAACTGTGAAAGTCAGCAACTAAGTTCAGGACTCAGCCAAACATTGCTCCACTGGTCACGTAGGAGCAAGAGCTGATTCATCTAGCTCTTTCCCCTAAAACACAGAAAGTGGAGCATCCACACACTCACCCTGCAAAGGCCAGCTTTGTGGGGCATCTGGGCTTCATTGGGTAGTGGGGAGCTGCAAGGCGTGGGTCACTAGGTTACTGGTTTCCATGGTGTAGAAGGGGACAGTCTCTAAAGAGTTCTCATCACTGCAGAACTGACCCTAACCTGGGTGCAGGTTGGGTCCAGTCCCTCTCTGTTCATACTGCCCCATGTACCACACAAACCCATCAGGTGAAGTGTAGTCTGAGGCTTCCCAGATGCATGATCAGTGCCAGCAACTTGATTAAAGTCTGTGCCCAGTCCCTGGTACAGAGGATCAAAGTGAGAAACTAAAACCTCATGACCTGTTTGTGTGGTTGTAAAATGGACTCAGTGCTGTAGGGAACAGCATAGCTGTCCTCTCCAAATTGTATAGAATTATCCTGTGATTCAACAATTCTACATCTACTTATAGACCTTAATAGAAATCAGGAGCTCAAGCAGATATTTGCATTCCCATGTTCACAATAGGATTATTCCCATGAAACAAAATATGGAAATAATCCCCAAAGGATGGATGAACAGGTACTATATATGTATCCTACAATATTGTGTTAAGTGAAATAAAACAGAAAGAAAAGGAAAATATTATCTGATTACATGTATGTGATTATCCAGCAGAGTCCAATTCATAAGACAGATAGTAGAATGGTGTTTCCAGGGGTTTAAAGACGGGAAATGAAGTTATTGCTGGGAGGGTTCACAGTTGCAGTTTGGAAATAAAGTTCTGGAGCAGGATGGTGCTCATGACTGCACAAGGTAAATGCTCTTAATGACACTGAACTGGTCACTGGCTAAGGTAATGGATTTTGTATCGTGCATATTTTAACATATTTTAGATGGTAGATAAGAGGTGATAAAGGGGCCAGAAGGGATGGGTGGATTCAGGGACAATTCTGTAATTCTCTGTTCATTTTTTGATGAGTAATGCTCTCCCAGGTCCTGATCATAACATACATCCAATATATCACTCAAAGGACAGAATTTACAGATGAAGCCTCCTGTTTCCAGACTGCACATTTGATTCTTTACCTACACTCAGTAACAAGTCCCTGATCCCTTCATTCTGAGCAGAAGAGAGAGGAGAAGAAGCGTTTGGGAAAGTTCTCCATGACCAGTACTGTCCTCAGGGGGCTCCCACTCTGCATGTCTGTGGTGGGGGTAGGGAGACTCCTCTTCTGTGCTTCTTTCTTTATTAAGGCAAGATTCAAGTCTACAATTCAGCATCTGTCCTGGAGCACCCAGTTCAGTGGCATTTCATGACTCAGGCCTATGAGACCCTCATCATGCCTGGCAAAGAATACCTCCACCATCCCCAGTGGTAACCCAGGTTCCTTAAACTGTCATTCTCCATTCCCCATGCTCAGCCATGGACCACTATTGTGCTTTCTAAGGATTTGTGTGTTCTGGGTATTTATATAAAAGCAAACATAAAAAATAAGTAAATATTTACATTTTAGGATAATCTAATTCCATTAGTCACAAAAATTCTAAATCATGAAACAATACATTTAACAGTATGTTTGTAAACATTTCATTTAAAGGGGTAAAAAAATTGAAAACAGTTCAAACATCTGACCTCAGAGTAAGGGTTAATTATGGTCAATTCTACAAAAGCTGCATAGGTTGAAGCATATATATGAAAATAAAAACAATTGTCCTGGTCAAGCTTTCCCATTAGTGGGACACAGAATCCAAGACCCACAACTAAGAAGAGGAGAAGTTTAATCTGGCTTATGGTTTCAGGGGATTCAGTCCTGGGTGGTTCCAAGGCAGGGACACTACAGCAGGAGGGTGTGCTGGAGCAAAGATGCTCAGTTCATGGTGGCCAGGAAGCAGAGTGGAGGGACAGTGCCAGGAAGGAAGGTACCAGAGACCAGATGTAGTACCTAGGGTCACTCCTCCATGACTCGTACAGATGAGCCCAGAAGTACACGTTACCAGTCACTTGGACAGCTCTCAAGCCCATCAAGTTGACAATGAAGATTAATCATCACATAGCAAAAGATTTGTGATGCTAAGATTATAGGTGATTTATATATGTGCGTATATACAGTATTTTGGGGGTTTTCCACCTTTAAAATTCTATCCAAAGTCAAAAAAGTGCTGAATTTTATGTTGAATAGAATTCTAGAATTAATAAATTCTTTTAGAAATAATAAAAAAAACCATTCCTTAGGTTAGTTTTATAAAATCCAGTCAAAAAGACTGAAAAATATACAAACAAAATACAGGAAGATCCAGAAATCTTAACTCTGCTTTGAACAACTACTTTGAAAGATAGATACACAATTTCTGAGCTGAACATGAAGAATTGTAAGATGCAACCTCACACCTAAGTACCTTCCCTGGGGAAATGAGTGCTATCTCCATCCAAACACAAGAATGACTGCAGCAACTTCATTTTTAAGGTCAAAGCTGGAAACACCACACAGGGCCTCAGCTGATGGACACATGAGGATTTGTGGTTCATCTACACAGTGTGATGTGATGGCTCAGCCACTGACAAGGATAAGCACACAGGAAACCTAACATGGTTATGAGGATTGAAAACCCTACCAGCTCCCCCCAAAACAAAAACAAAAACAAAATCAAATAACACCCCCCCCCCCGCAATCCTGGGTGGTTACAGACCTGGCACCTCTAAAAAAAAAAAACTGGTTCCCAGAGACAAAAAGTAGATGCATTGCTTAGGATGGAAGGAAGCAATTACACTGAGCCACAAAGAAAATGTGAAAATGATGTATGCATCTCCACTGGGGTGAGGGGTTTCAAGGGGCTCATGAAGGTCAAGATTCTTAGGGGTTTTTTTTGTTTGTTTGTTTTTTTAGCTTTAGTTTTGTTTTGTTTTGTTTTGGGTACCAGGAACCAAACACAGGATCTTGTACTTGCCAGGGAGCCCTTTGCCACTGAGCTATATCCTTGTTCCATGTCAAGATTCATTGAATTTTGTAGTTTAAACCAGTAAGTTAATTGTATGTCAATTATAGTGAAATAAAATTGCTTTTAAAAAACACTTCTCAGCCTCCCCATCCCGGCTGTGCTTGGAGAACTGTGGAGCTTCCAACAAGTAGGCGGGCGCATGCTATCCCCTGAGCCCAGCCTATTTGGGACTCCTGCACCTCACCATTGGTGTGCAGAGGAGGAACTGGGCAGATCTGGGGTGCCTGCATCCGCCTCCCCATGTGTCTGGAGGACTGTGGATATCTCAGCAAGCAGGGGAGCATCACAGGTTCCAGAGGCCCCGCGGCCTGTGGTAAGCGCACTCTGCCCAAAGCCCAGTCTGTTCAGGACCCTCCAGGCTTCCGGGTGCAGTGAAGTAGATAAGTGGGTTTGAGGCATCTACATCCGCCTCCCCATCCTGGCAGCACTCAGAAAACTGTGGAGCTTCCAACAAATAGGCGGGCGCATGCTATCCCTGGAGCCCAGCCTATTTGGGACTCCTGCACCTCACCATCGGTGTGCACAGGAGTGGCTGGGCGGATCTGGGGCGCCTGCATCTGCCTCCCCATGTGTCTGGAGGAGTGTGGATATCTCAGCAAGCAGGGGAGCATCACAGGTTCCAGAGGCCCCGCGACCTGTGGTGAGTGCTAAGCGCACTCTGCCCAAAGCCCAGAATGTTGGGGACCCTCCAGGCTTCTGGGTGCAGTGAAGTAGATAAGTGGGTTTGAGGCATCTACATCCGCCTCCCCATCCATGTTGCGCTTGGAGAACTGTGGAGCTTCCAACAAGCAGGTGGGCGCACAGTGTCCCTGAAGCCCAACTTATCTGGAACTATGGAGTTCTAAACAGGCAGAAGAGGACCATTGGTTCTACAGGCCGAGTGACTTAGGGTAATGGGGTGCCAGAGTCTCAGGAGCTGCGAACATAGAAGGGGATTTCCAACAGACCTTGAGTAAGCTTTCAAATAACACATGAAACACAGAAATATAGGAAAATGAAAAAACAAAAGACCAAATTACAACCTCAAACCTGCAGCCCATCTCAAGAAATCCTAGGAGCAATGTATATAGAAGAAAATGTATGCCATTCACCTCAAATATCGGACACAATAGCTACTGAAATTAACAAATAACTCCAGGAAGCTTTAAAGAAATTCAAACTCGAAATAATCTTCCAGGTAAAATGATAAAAGAAATGATAAAAGAAATGAAAGAGATTCTGAATATATCTAAAGAAAACACAGTTAAAAAATTGGAGGAACTAAACAAAAAGATAGAGTCCCTAGATGAGCAATATAAGAAACAAAGAGAATACATAATGCAGATGCACAGAGATATACAGGAAATAAAAAACTCCACTGAAAGTTGTAAACCGCCTCAATGAAAGTGAAGATAGAATTTCAGACCTTGAAGACAGGATTGCAGCTAGTGAATAGGAAAGGAAAGATCTTTTAAAAATAACAAGGAATCAGGAAACAACAATTCAACAACTGCAAGATGATGCAAAGAAAAATAACATAAAAATGATAGGGATTAATGAAAAAGAAGGAGACAACATAAAGGATGTCAAGAGGATATTTAGA